AACGTACGCACTGGTTTGCGAAGCACTTCTTTACTAGCAGGTTGAATCCTTGCGATCTAGTTTTCCATAGTGGACAATTACTTCATAACGCGGAGTGCTTGTATGTGTTATGGATATAACACAGTATATTCGCAATGCGGGGGATGGCCGGGGGCCCCGGCGGCCCCGCCCCAGCTGCCGTACAGCAGCGGAATGTGAATGCCGGCGCCACACCCAATGGTTACGCCCGCAGCCAGCTCCCCCACCAGTCCGACTCAAACGGCCTCACAGTTGTACAAAATGGCGGGCGGGCGAGTGGGGCCCTCGATCTCTGTCTCTCTCTCTCTCTTCCGCCCAGCAGTCCCATTCGTAGCGCCGGCACTCGGGGCCCCAGACCGTGCCGGCGCGCGAGGGGCGGGGACGGCGCGGGGCGGCTGGGGGCGGCGCGGAGGAGGCGGTGCAGAGGGAACCGAAACGGAACGGAAAGCGAAGGCGGACGGAAGGAAGGCAGGACTGCTGCCGAGGGGCGTAGCGCCCAAGCTGCCATTGGCGCCGGCCCGCGAGAGCCCCGGCCGCCAACGGCCCAATGACACACGGCTCGAGATCCTCTTGCGTTTCGATCAATACGTTTTGGTCATGTCGGCACCGTGACAACGTCGACGTTATCAACACTCAGGAGAAGAAAACACCAAGGCTGAGATCGAAGTACTTTAAAAATATGCTACTGCTACAGTGTGATTCTTCCTCACCATATTAGTCCTGAAAAATTTAGGTGCAGTTCAAGGGACGACTGTTTTAGCACTAGTTAGGGGAGCATCTAGAAAGTACGTCTATCATTTGCACTTTTACGAAAATGCCAAATTCAGCCCGTGCAAGCTCTCATAGCGCCTGATAGGTAGGCAAACTCTTGCCTGCAGTGCATGCATGCACTGCGGGGTGGCCTACCCCGAGTATTGCAGGCGCCGAGCTTCCGTCATTTGCCGAATTAAACCGAGATGAAACGAACGTACTTTTTGATTGATCCCGAGGTCCGAGATTTTGTATGGACAGTGAAATTGTAAATCTACCCGTTTTGAAGAATCTTCGTTTCGGCATAATGTCAGAATGGACTCAATTCAGAGTGTTCGAACAAACTACAATCTTATGTTTGAGTTGTTGCTTTTGTGTGCTACTCTATTGAGTTTTTATGTTGCTTCTTTTTTTGTTCTTGGAGGGTTGGTCGTGTTTTTGGCACCTATTGGAGTGGGGACGAGTGGGGTCCCTATTCCTGGAGGGTCCGAATCAGGAGCGGATGAAGCTATTGGAGTAGACGGCCAGGCTGAGAGCATCCACGTAAGAGAGATGAGAGAGATGAGAGAGATGAGAGAGAAGAGAGAGAGAGAGAGAGAGAGAGAGAGAGAGAGAGAGAGAGAGAGATAAGGGGGCGGTGAAAGGGGAGAAGAGGCAGGGAGAGAAATGGTGATGGGGGCGGCGAAAGAGAGACAAGGGCGAGCAGAGTGGGAGAGTGAGAGAGCGAGAGAGGCACAGAGAGAAACAATCTTTCAAATGTGGAGGGCGTGCCCAACGGCGCCATAAGGCCTCTGCGACAGACGAGAGGACGAAGTAAGAGGAGGGGAATAAAGCGACAGAGAGGAAGAGAGAGAGAGGGGGGGAGATACACAGAGCCCCCCGCCCCCTCCCTTGAGGGGGAGGAATGAATTGTGACCGCGCAGCGGAAAGGAAGTGGAATAATGCGCAAAGGCGTTCCACCTGGAGAACTCAAGAGAACGACCTTTCTCCCGTTTCTCCCCCTCTCCATGTCCTTTCTCTTTCCTGCCCTCCTTCTCCTCTTCCCTCTCTCTCTCTCTCCCTCTCTTTTTATCTCTCCCCTCTCTCTTCCTCTAACCGCAGCGGCGCGGCCTGCCCAGCGGCACACACTGCGCGAGCAGTAACCCTCTCTCGGCCGATAATCCTCGCGAGCGTTCGACCGCCTGCCTCCGCCCCTCTTCTCTCTCCCTGATGCCGTCTCCCTCTCTCGCTCTCTCTCTCTCCTCCGTATCACTCGGACTCTCCCACCCCTTGGGCCCTCTCTCTCTCTCCCTCTCACTCCCGTCCGTAGGTCTGCTTCCCGTATTATTGATGTTTCCTTCCCCCCACCCCAGCGACCCTTGCTAGCTGCCTGACTGCCCCCCCCCTCCCCCTCTTGTGTGACTACTGCCACTCCGGCACCCCCTCCGCCCTCGCTCCCCTCCAACCCCATCTGCCCCCTTTACTTCTCCCCTTTCGCCTCAAGTCACTGCTGCGCAGCAGTTCGAAACAAACTCGCAAACAAACTGCCAGCTCCGCAACGGCGTGGCACTAGTCCTGGAATAAATCGATGCCCGCCTCAGAGAGTCCTCCATGTCGTCCTCATTTTCGGAGGGAGGTGAGGAAAGGGAAGGTCCTTGGCGACGCGCACCCCCGCGGCCCCTCCCTCCAAACACGCCTGAGGACCTCGTCGTCTGCCTGGTGGAGGACAACTGCCCAGGTCCCCCGTAATGACGTTGTGGTGGTGCCAGATGGGGCGTGTCCCCCGACGAGACGTCCTCCATACTGCCCCGCTGTCCACTGCGGCCCACACATATATACACTTCTCTCTCCATCACACACACACACACAACCGGCGGTAAACATCATTTCAGCTTCGGGTTTGTCCTGCTCTCAGTGACCCGTCAGCCTGAAAGGCCGGCTGGGGCTCGGCCACGCCACGGGGCCAGCGGCGGGCCCTCCAACCCTTTCCCTCAGGGGGCCGCAGCCGGGCCGGGCGCAGCTCGATGCTGGGCGCCTTTGGGGGGTCCTTGCTGCTTCCTTTCGGTCAGGCCTGAGCAAACTTTACGCCGCACACTACTCCCCGGGCACAACATTGCGTACTTGACGACGCGGCGTTGGATGACGCTCGCAAGCGTTGTTTTCTGTTTGTTTTCGTGTCTTTTCATTTATTATTTTTTGTCGTTAGTAGGATGTGGCCCAAATGCAATTAATTGCGTCAGCATATTTTCTTTTTCTTGTCATCAGCTTGTGCTTTTACTTTGTTAAAGTCAGCACTACTCGGGTTTAGGGCTCTCATCCCATGAGCAGCACAGCAGCGTGGCAAGGAGGACAACTGTTGTCTTTTCCTTTCCAGTCGTCGTCCTCCCAAACCCACCCACACGGTAGCCCTTGGTGCGCGGGGTATCGACGACGCGTCCCTCCGCCGCCATACCCCGCGCCGCGGCGCTCCAGAGTGGAGTCGAGGCACTGCTCCTCGGGGAGCAGAGCAAGCGTAGCGGCGGCACGGCATACTATTGTACAGCTACCTCTTTACAGCTCCGGGGCCTCGGACTCGGTCGGTCGAGGGGAGAGCTGACCGTCGCGTCGAGGACGCGAAGGGCCTCCAAACTGGCTCGGCCGAGCGGGGCCAGGCGAGGCCAGGCTGGGGCCGGTCTAGGCACCATCATAGACTGACAATGCCTCAGCTGGACATCACGTCAGATTATTACCCTCTCTCTTTCCCTCTTTGTCGGTGTCTACCCCGCCCTTCCCCGCCTCCACCTCCTAGGTAGCCCTCCGGGCATCCTCACGTCGGGCAGGAGAAGAGAGGAGAGCTCGACCGGTCGGCCGCCACTGACCTAGACACCGCCCCTGCGCTTGGGCCAGGCGGCCACGGGAAGATCCGGGTCACGAACAATTGTAACGAAATTTCGAAAGAAAATGGGTGTAGGCGGAGCGCCAACACCTTGTAAAAGTTCAGCCGTTATCACATATAGCTTCAAAAGAAAGTTTCCATTAATTTCGCCGCATTCACGATCCTAAGCCTTCAGAAGATAGAAGTCAGGGAGAATGAAAAATTACTCTGGTGAAAGTTAGTTGGCCGCCACCGTTATTCGAATTATCTTGGATGAAGCGGACTTCAACAAGCATCGATGGCATTCTCTCCCGCTCCCATCGACGGACGCGGCCCCCGAACGCTTCCACCAGTGCCTTTGCATGCGCCCGGCGTTCACGCGCATTTCCTGCCCTCCACAAGGTCGTGACTTTTCCTGAAACTTCTAGCCCAAAACAGATTTCTTATCTAGCTCTCCTTTCCATTATTCACCCGCCGCAGTAAACAACACCACCAAACAAGAGAAGCACTTCAAAAAAAGAAAGAAAAAACTAACACTGCAACATTGTGTCTCCTTAGAGAAGTTCCCCATTTTGTTGTCAAAGTGTCACACAGGCAAAAATAGATATCGAAGTGGGCGGGGGGAGGGGGGAGGGTAATACATTCAATTCTTTCACTGGCCCATAGCAGAGTACGGAGCTATGATTAGGAGGCCTCGGCAGATCCTCGCGGGTTCCCTGGCCTGCCTCAAGGCGCCCGAGGTTGGTGCGCTTGTCCGCAAGGGCAGCGCCGCCGCCACGCACATCCGCGGATAGAGGCGGAGGTGTGTGCGCAGCACGTGTGACAGTGACACACTGCTCGCGCGCACTTGAACCTCGCTAGAAATAGAAGGCTCCGCGCACAATGGTGCACACACGACGAGCTTCGCTCGCCCGCCCCCTCCCCCGCGGTAGGCGCGCGCGCGCAAGGACAAACATTTCGCCATGAGTGAATGATCCGCGCGAAGCGAAAGAATGAACCGCTGATGAATGGGCGCAGCGAGTGTACGTCAGCGATGCTGCCCATAATGTCGTCGAGCTGCTCCGGCGGCGGCGGGGAGCGGCCGCGCTGCCGCGGTCCCCAAAAATACCGAGTCGTCCTTTTGTGGCCACTTATCGGATGGAGACGGTATCGGCGCGGCGGTGTCGCGGAGCGCGTCCGTGCGCGGGGGCGGCCCGGTGCGCGCCCGCGCAAGTCGCGGCCGTCCGAGGGCGAGTTACGCGGGTCCACCGCGCGAGGCGGCGAGGTTCGGACGCGGCTGCATGCGGAGTCATACACGGGGGGAGGACGTACCCAAATCCGTCTTCCTGGTGGCGAAGCCCCCCGACAAAAGAGAGGCAGTGTGGAAGTGGAGGGGGCAGGGGGGACCGGCGGGGTACGGGGCGGTGCAGGAGACGAGGCGTTAAGGAGGGCCGGCTCCGAGGTACGTGGATCAGTACTCAGCTGGCAGTCGGACGGGTTACACAGCTGGACACTCCCGCAGCATCAGCTGATCCGATAGGTGAGTACATCAGGGGAGATCATTCACCGGGGGGAGCGGGCCGCCCCGGTGTGGAGGCGGTCAGTTTCGCGCACAGGGTGGTAACAGTGATGTGTGTGAAGGTGTATTTCACTCCGGAGATTGAATCTTCGGCATTATCACAAAATATCCTGCGCTCAAATGTGAAATGAACGATATAATTTTACATTAACGGATAGGATGTGGCGGTTCCGGTTTCGCGTTGAGCCATCTTCTCCCGTCCGTATCGCTTCGCACAGAGCAGCTACGGCCTCTCCCCGTCTTCCTTCCCACAACGCGTCTAACGGTCGCTACTGTTGTGATCTTACGACGCGGTGTGTAGTCCGGCCTCGGCGCGGTCTTTACAAGCATTCGTAACGGTCAGGAGGGTTCCTGACACCGCGCTGCCTAGGCCTGCCCACCCCACGAATATTTTAATGTTCCGGAAAATATTTCTGGGAGATAATGTTTTTGCTTACATCTCTTAGTTTTTTCCTGAAAAGGTTTTTTTTATTTTTTTCTTGAAATATTTCATTTTTTCCTATTTTTATCTGGAAAAGTTTCCAATAGTTTTCCCGGAAAAATTTCGGACTTAATAGCCCTAGCCTGGCCCGTGGTCGTCATAGAGTGGACCGCGCGACCGCCAGCCGCGCTGCGCTCGGCTGCGCTGCACGGGGGTTTGGCGAGCCCCCAGCGGGTAGGCCACGCGGGTGCGCGGGTGCGCACCGCACTGCCTGGCCGGGATTGCACGGCGCTCGGCGAGGGGCTCGCTCGAGCGCACCGACCCAGACCAGGCCGCCGCGCGCACCCGCGGCGCAAGATAGTTTTCGTGCGCGGGTGCTGCGTTTCGCATTGGGAGGTTGACTGTTGTGCTGATCCAGCGCGTTCGTCACACCAGGTCGCGGTTGTTCTCCAACAGAGACAGCATGCACAACGCCGACCAGTACGAGGGCGCCAGCGAGCTGCAGCGCCGGGACGCGAGAGAGGCCCTCGACGAGCTCGTCCCCAAGATGCAGTGGGTCCCCGGCGAGAGGGTGTGCGACCAGGGCTCCGGCGACGGCTGGGTCACCAACAGACTGCTGGCGACCAGGTGAGCCCGGGTGGTGTGCGAGGACACCATCGTGACCACGACAGACGACAGAGGGACAACTGCACAGGAGTTGTTTTTCTGCTCTCGAAAAAATGCTAAAACTCGTTGATCCTGAATAGACTCCCCAAAGACTACGCCCGGATCGTTGGCATGGACAAGTCCGGCGAGATGGTGCGCTACGCGCTGCAGAACCACCAGTCCGACAAGAGGATCACCTTCGTGGAGGGCGACGTCGCCTGCGGCAACCCGCTCTGGCACGGGGCGTTCACCAAAGTCTTGTCGTTCAACTGCTGGCACTGGGTCAAAGACCAAAGGTAAACAAATTATGTGGTCCAGATGCCAGACCACGACGTCTAATTTTGGTGTCGGCTGGAAGTCTAACGTTCCTCTGTCGCAGTGCGGCCGCGCGGACCACCTACGAGATGCTGGCGCCCGGGGGCGAGTTGGGGCTCGTGTGCCTGGCGCGCAGCCCCATCTACGAGCTGTTCCAAGGGATGGCCCGCTGCTCCAAGTGGGCCTGCTTCATGGAGGTACTTTTATTGGACAAATTGTTGGACATTTAGGTATGAGGCTAAAGACAAAACCTAAAAAATAAAACAAATGTTGAGCAACAGGGCAAGGCTAAGAACGAGAATCCACTCCATTGCTCAAAAACAATAGAACTCGATATAGTCTGACCTCAGATAGAGATTTTATACTGTTTCGAGCCGATTCAAGCCGAAAACTCCAAAACTGCTTCATCGAAAAGTGTACTTCGATTTATGCAGAGGATTAAACTTTTCTCGGCTCTCTCAGGACGTGGACCAGTTCATCTCGCCGTACCAGCACCTGGACCGTCCCGAGGAGGAGCTCACCAAGCACCTGGAGGCCGCGGGGCTGGAGGTTGTCTTCTGCCAAAATCGCGAAAAGACCTACACCTTCAAGTCTGAGGATGCCCTCCGAGGTGAGTCTGCTCAAACCGTTACGCTTGTTCTCGTTGTTTCCAGCCGCACTCTTGATCGATAACTCCCTCTAATGGCTGTGCGTTCTCCTCCTCAGAGTCCATCGCAGCGGTGAACCCGTTCCTGAACAAAATGCCCGAGATGATGCGCAACGAGTTCATGGACGACTGCATGAGAATGGTAAAGAAACTCGATCTGATCCAAAATCACAACAACAACAAGGACGACGGCGTCAGTCACATCTACTCGCAGCTGGTAGTTCACGCAAGAAAACGATGGCACTAAAACTGGGTCGCTCTTAATGTGTTGTTTATACTTTTATTTTTGTTCATTGTTGTTGTTTTTGTTGCTCTTTTCCATGTTATTATGAAATATATTTTTTTAAAGTAAAGGGACGATACAAAAGACCACACGTTCTCACAGCACAGCGCGTTAAACGGTACGGGAGATGTTCGGCAAAACGGGCTATTTTTGGATCGAAGGCATCTACTTTGTCGAGTTACTGGAGAGACTTAGAGGGGGAGATCCGTCAACTCGCGGCTCCTCCGAGTAGTGCTGCGCTGTGGTTGGGGTCTTGGTGCGTGCTAAATGCCCCCCCCCCCTCCCTTGCCTCGGGTCGCTGGGACAAGATGGTAACTGAAGGAAATTCCGCGACAAAATGAAAGTGGGAGGGTTTTGTATTGTTTGACGAGTAGAACAACATATCCAAAAAAAAATCAGATGTTCTCTAGTGCTAGGCGGTTTTTGAGTGGAAAGTTCTGAAGCAATGCAAGAGCAACGCGCGCGAACGCGCGTGACTCCTCCTGCATTTTCAGGGAACTACCGACTGGCTGAGCCCCGCGCCCTTCTGTAGTTATGCCGTACCGCAGGCCTACGTGCGGGCGGGTTGCCTACTTGCTCGGCCCGTAAGGGGCCGTGGAAATGGGCGACAGGCAAGCCCGCCCGCGCTCCTGCGCGTGCGGTACAGTATAACTACAGAAGGGTGCGGGTTAATCAGCCAACTTGTGTGTGCAATACTCTTATGTTAAATAGTATCGCTCAGCAAGTAGAGATACAGGGTGGCCGCTCTGCCCCGTCATTTTGAAAAGGTAGACTAGCCCGCTTGCAGACGGAGAGGGGAGGTGAGAGGGGACTGGAGAGGTCGTGCGGGCGGGCTAGTCTACCTCTTTTAAAAAGACGGGGCAGAGCGGCCACCCTGTATAAAAACTGACCCGGGATCATTTTTGCAGAGCAGATTCCAGTCTAAAATTTTTATAAGCGTGCCGATTTAGTCATGTTCATCTTTTACCCCACTTCCCGTCGAATACAGGGTGGGTGATCTGCGCCGTGTTTTTTCTGCATACTCGGGCATACGGGTTGCATACTCGCACGGGGCCGCAAGGCGCCATGGCGAGCGACGATAGGCAAGCCCGACCGCACGCGTGAATCCGGTACAGCATAAGCAGAAAAAAACACCCACCCTGTACATGATACTTAGAGTCGCGTTCGGCAGCTAGAAGTGTTCCTTGAAACTTCTACTTTACGATGAAAAAATATCCAAAAATAAGCATTATAGGCCAGGATATTGGCTTTTAATTGAGGCGGGTATGTTGGGTTGCCTACCCAGACCTCCTGGAAGGCGCAATGGTAACTTGTTCTTCACTCATGACCCCGATAGTACCAGATTCGAACTCAGCGTGTCTCAAAAAACCCTTATTCTAAATTTGAGCCAAATAGGAGTTGGCGTAGGGGTGTCATCGGCGTGCTCGGTAGGTCCCCGATGACGTCCTCGAGGGCGCCAGACGACAACGGCACTACCAGATTTGGACTCCTCAAAACAACCCATATTCTAAATTTGAGCTATATCGGAGATGACATCCTTGAGGTGTCTCTGAAGCGTCCGTCGGGGTCCCTATGACCTTGAAAGTGCCAGATTCGAGGGGTACACCACTCTTAAAAGTAGGTGTACGCGATTTAAAAAGTAAAAAAAAAATGTCAAAAGAAAGTCAAAAAGTTATTTGAAAAGTAAAAAAAAGTAAAAAAAGTCAAATAAAAAGTCGAAAAAGTCAAAGAAAGTCAACCAGAAGTCAGAGAAAATACTCTGAAAAAGTCAACAAAAGGTCAACATGCGAGTGCAATATCTGCTTGTAAGAGGCCAAAAAGCTAACTGTGATGGTATCGGGAAACATCACTGTCTTTTAAAGAGGGGGAGGGTGGGTGAAGTGAGGAAAATTAAATGACTGGATTTCATGGGATTTCTTGACCAAAAAACTTAAATACCTAAAAAAAAAAAAATACGACACCCATTATTTTCCACAAAAAAAAAGGAGCAGGGAAAAAATCTTAAAAGTCAAATAAATTTGATCAAAAAATTTAAAAAAAGTCAAATACAAGTACATAAAAGGCAAAAAGTACGTGTACGTCCAGAATCGGAGTGGTGTACCCCTCCCAAGGAAAACTTTTTACTCATGAAGACCTCATTGTGACCTCTGAGGTCACGATTCTTGGACTTGTGAGGTCACCAGTGAGGTCATTAGTGCAAGAATCGTGACCTCGTTTGTCATAAAGAGGTCACAATGAGGTCTTCGTGAGAACCACGTTTTCCTATTGCTCGACCAGATTCGAACTCGGCGTGTTACAAAACCCCCGATATCCAAATTTGAGCTGAATCGGAGTTGACATGCTTAGGCTGTCCCTGAAGATGTCTTCGGGGCCCTGGATGACCCCGAAAGTACTGGATGCGAACATGATGGACCTAGGTCCTACTATCATGATGCGAACTCGTCAGCGTGTCTCAAAACCCCCATTGCGACCCCCCGGTATGGGGGTCCAATCAGAAACTGTATCGTACTGGCGCTCGGCTCGGCTCAGCAGCTCAGCTCAGTGACGTCATCTCCTATGTCTCCTAACCTGCATATAGCATTCTTTTCATCTTATTTGCAGGAATTCCTGTACTTAAGGTCATCCAGTCCTATTCGTAGGTAGAAACTTCCTGCAAATATACCGCCGTCGTCGTGTGCGTGTGTCTGTGTGGTGTGTCTGTATTTACATGTGTAATCATTTCATGTCAATGTTATGTCTTTTCAAATGTGATTGTCTGGCAGTTCATTTTAATAAATGAGTCCTAGAGGCCTGCCTTTCTTGAAGGAAGTTCTGAAGACTATAAGGTCGAACAAAAAATCGAACATGCCGTACTATGCCGTAGCGAGAGGTAGACAAGTTGGTGTATTCCAGTCCTGGTGTGTGAAATGTTCATTTCTTGATTTATTACTTGTAGTATACTGTCACAAAGTGACAATACCATTCCAACATTACTCGATTGTCATTTGCTGTTTGCAATTAGAACATCTTACAAGAAAGACAACATTGTAAACCAAGTGTTGTTTAACCAGTCATTTCCGCTTTTATATTTTAGGAATAGCTGTCAAGAGATGATTTCCAACTTTAAGGGAGCTAAGTACAAAAAATTTGAATCTCAAGATGATGCCTGGGATTTTGTGAAGCAATTCCGGTACAAGTCTGTAAAGCCTTCAGACCGAGAAGAAGAAGAAGCACCTATCGCAAAGCAAATGAAGGTGGAAACATCAAATGCGGAGGGAACTGACAAACCATCAAACAGTACATTTGACTTTGCAGCTTTCAATGTTCGGCTCACAAATTTAGAAAATTCATATCAAGAAAAGGTAATCTTGATTGTGTCAAATTGATGTTTTCATGGAAGTCTGATTTATTATTATTATTTGTGTCTTTTCAGATACGGTCATTAGAAGAGAGGCTCAGGGCCCTAGAAAATGATCGATCAGGGGAAGGCAATAAAGATGGAAGTCAGACTGAAGGAAAAAAAGGATCATCTGATCCATCATCTGTTGCTGGACATTCAAAGATGAGTGCTAGCAAACGAAAATTACTTGAATCTGCAAGTGATATTATTAAGCCAAGGTGATTTTTGAATATAGGTCATGTTAAAGCATACCCTATGCAACTTAACTTGCAGTGGGACTTGTATTTCACGTAAAATGTTTCTCTCCAGGCAATACTCAACATCTGCTTTGAAACGGATGAAACCCTCTGAAGTAGAGCTCTGTGAAGAAATGGACTTAGTCTCGGGAAGCAGCTCTGTAAGTAATGTAAAATTTTGTTTAAAATATTTATGATATTGCAGACTTTGTCTCATAATCATTATTTATTCAGAGTGATGTCCCATTTAAAGTGGACGCTGAGGATTATGTAATGGTGTACACAGATGGAGCTTGTTCTAAAAATGGTGCTGGCTTGGAAACTGCTAAAGCAGGAATAGGAGTTTGGTTTAATGATGGCCATCCTTTGTGAGTTTTTAAATTTCCCTCTAGAAAAAATTGCTGAATGGGAAAATATCTCTAGTATTTCTCTATTTTAAAACTATTACCATTTGTTCAAAAGGAATGTGTCAGCACCAGTGAAAGGCCGTGCTACAAACAATGTTGCAGAGTTCCAAGCTGCAATAGCTGCTGCAGAGATGGCTGCTGGATCCGGTATGTTTGTTCTTTAGCAATGTCGTTTTTTTTTGTTTTTTTTCCCTTAGTTGTTCAGGTATTTGATTGTTTTTTCTTCAAAACATTTGAAATTTAGGTATATCAAAGTTGTGTATTGTAACTGACTCTCAGTTTGTCATAAACTGCATGACTTCATGGATTAAGTCATGGAAGAAAAACGACTGGAAGACTGGTAAAGGAGAGCCAGTTATAAATAAGCAAGAGGTTTTAGAATTGGAAAAAGCTTGCAAAGCTTTGGATGATGTAAAATGGGTAGGTAAAACATTAACATTTTAATTTTTTTTTATTGTTGTTTGAATTTAAATGAATTCACCCAATCCCTGGTTCTTTTTAGTTGCATGTTAGGGGACATCAGGGAGTCCATGGCAATGAACAGGCTGACTTACTTGCAAGAAATGGAGCTGAACGGTATATCTTTGACACTCATGGAGCTCACACAGTTTGATAAACTCCTTGACATCTGGGTAAAATTTGTTAAATTTTGTTATAGGTAATTTATGTAATAAACTCTTTAAAAGCTACAGTAGGTAATTCATTAGTCTTTTAAGTTTTGTAAGAGTCAACCCTTCAAAAATTAAAACAATGTGATTTGACAGGTGCAAAATGCTTTCATAATTTATTTAATTTGAAATGTTTGTGAATAGACCAGAGCTGTAAAGCAAAACCAGAAGTGGAAGAGAATTTCATTTACTGAGTTACCTAATCACAGATTTCATAGACTTCTGTGTTACAAAAATAGTTGGGTCAAAACTTAAACAAACTGAACCAAAAATTGCAACCCAAAACTAGCTCCCCTCCTAAACTTGTCCAAACACAGTCAATAATAGAAATGAGAAATGATCCTACAACAAATTAAATAATTTACGTACACAAAACTTAAGGAGACAGCTGGTATATACACACAAGACACATTCACACATCATACTTGCTCAAAAACATGAAAGGTCCACGCTGCAATTCTCATTGGAGACACAACACATTTACGATTCGCTAAGTAAAATATTTTACAAAAACTTTAGAATGAATGGCTTAGATCACAAGTTGTCAAAGAGTTCTAACAACCTACCTTAGAACATGCTAACACCACAAGAGGAGAATACAAAGCAATGAAACAAAGGGTATAATTGTGTTAAATAGGACAACAATGGAGGGACAGTGTTCTGATAAACAAGTCACATTCACATTACAAGTGTTAATTCATTACATTAAACCATAACTGAATATTCATTCTCCCCGAGGTTATTCTAATGTCAAACTTAAATAACTGTTGCAGCAAAAATAGCATAGGTGAAAGTCCTCACAATAATATGCGATAAAGGTAAACAACACAGAATAAGCCAATTTCAAAGAAAATTTTGACACAAACTTGGTGATTTAGAATCTAAAATTTCAGCAATCCAAAAAGTTGGCAGCCATGAGCAGTTCTAGAGCAATTTCTGGGGCAATAGGAAATTCCGGAATTTCTGTTGAGCTGTTTGTATACCGAATCTTGTATGTGAAATACATGCAAACTTTTTGAAGAACATGTGACCTATAATTAAAGTGAAATTAATAGAATAATAAGATTTAGGGAATAAGAATATGTTTTTCAATTATTTTTTAAATTGATTACACTAAGATAAACTTACGGTATTTCCCTGAAGTTTACTTCATTTGTCTCATTTTCGGCAAACTGTCCTGGTCCACTGAGCATAGCCTTGATGGTGCCAGAAGTGAGTGCATGTTCCCTTTTTACAATAAACTCATGTCCATCAGATGATATAAGTTTGACATACATAGCATCTGGCCCCTCGCATCCTCCATAGATTTTGTCGTCCATTTCTTTAGCCTGGAATCAAGGAGGTAGAAGTTAGTAATTGTGGGGGAAATAAAATGCGTTCCAGTATTTAAGGAGGGTTAATGAATGTCAGGAAGGATAGGATAATTTTAATCTAGGGTGAAAACCATTGCCTCAGTTTCTGCTTCTACAGGTTTTTCATCTCCACACGAGAGTTTAGGAGATTCGCCTTGGGCAGTGTCAGCATCACCTCCTTCAGGCATGACTTCTTGTCTCTCACTCAGTTCTTTGGAGTCTAGGACATTATCTAATGATGTCCTTGATAGAGGAACACTGTCATTTCCAGGAGGCATTACTGAGGCATGGGATGAGATGGACAGGCGAGTAGAAGATGGGATGACAGGATTAGCAGAATTATCGGGGATATCAATAGGGGCTGCATCACTCCCCTCCAAAAATGGGGCTTCATTAAAATCTTCTATTGGATCAATATCCATTGTGTTAGCTTCAAGGGTTATGGAATCCTATAGTTCATAAATCATTAGAGGACATTCAGACAGATCCAAATTCAAAACACAGGGGGCTTTGCAACAATTAGGTCACACAAACAGTTACCTTAGTTTCATCCATGATGATTCAAGCGTTAAAATGTGTGCCTGCTGAAAGAAGAAGTGAACTTGTCTGCTTATTAGAATTTACGAGCAAGTGAAAGATTAAACTTAGTACAGTGGCATTGGCAAATCAAATGTAACAGGGACTTATCAAGGCACAAATTGACTTACATAATAATTTTTTTATTTATTATTTATGAAAAATTCTAAATATTAAGGGTGGATGATTAAAAATATGTGATGAATGGTTTCTAAGTAATCCATTTTATCATGCACTGTCATTGCAAAAGGATTTAATGATTGCCAGCCATCAGGAGGGCATTAACAGCACAGGAGAGTCTAAATTTCGACCACATAATATTTACATTTGTCACTAAGAGAAAAATGAATTAGGACATATTAAGGGCACAAGCGTAAGAAATGAATGAGCACATCAAACAGTGATCCTAACCAAAGAACGTCTTGAATGGTCATAAAGCCATTGAAGCGTTTTGTAGAAGCTAGAGGAAATTGGACTGTAATCCTCTCGTACGTATGATGATAATGTACTCAAATGTCCGAAGAACGACACAGATTCAACCAGGCTAGAAAAATGAGTCCAGAATATGTGGAAAAAATACCTACCGATTGCTAGCCGATTGTGATCAGGTGTCTTGTGCTTGTAGTTTTGTCGGGTTTGTTGTTGATAACAGCGTAGCGTAGGCCTCGTGTTACCTAGCTACGAAAAACATATCGTGCAGGTTAGAAACAATTAAGCCAGAAATGACCGGAACTGAGGTGATTCAGTAAAATTCATAATTTGAAGTACTATAAAACTACTTTCTTAAAGTATGTTACTTCAATTACTTTCATACAGGTACCTCTTTTTTTGGCGACTTTTAGTGTTGTGTGGTTGGCAAATCATGATGTAATGTGACAGCCAACCAGAGCCAACATTTAGAAAAAAGACAAAAACAATAGAGAAAGAGAGATGTTGCACTTCGGTGTTCTCATTTTATGCGAAATATCCTTTGTGGGGAGGTTTTCTTCAGATTATTCTTTCTCCAACAAAGCGTTTTACAAAATCTAACCGTTTGCAGGTTTGTAGTACTCAGCACCGCCTTCTGGATACCACTGTGAAAAGTTCTCTTTTGTACCGGTTAAAATCTAGGGGGAAAATTTGAAAGTGGAGAAGCAGCCGCCTCCGAGCTCGATACAAAATACAATACAAAATTCAATAAAATAAAAAATTGCTTCCACAAAGATGAGGAATCTTGCACTGATCTGCTTTTCTCTTGGCCAGCTGAAAGTAATTATAATTACGGTGCGAAGCGAAAATGAATCGAGACAACTCCTTTCAATGAAGATCAGTCATGTGTCTTTTAAAGCTACTCACACTTTCAAGCGAGAGGTGCAATGCGTAATCGTGCGGCAGGGATAAGACGAATTACGAATGCAGGTACCATGTCTCAGGGATGGGGTGGGACGGGGGCGGCGCGGCGGGGTTGGATCCGCAGCTCACCCCACCCCGTGCAAGTTGCACTGCAGATGCTTGAGAGAGATTTAGTGAAGAGAGATTTAGCGGAGTGAGTTCTGCTCTCGCTTCCTGTGTAGCGGTAATTACGTGGCCTCGCAGTCGATACGCCGCCGCGGGCGCGCGCGCGCGCACCCCAAATCCTTCACGAGGGCCTCTCGGGCGGCGCGCGCAGGTACACGCGCGGGGGAGTTCCACGCCGAAAATAATCTTTTATTTCGCCAGAAACATCTCTCTTCAGGAAGATGCGAGGAGGAGCGTGTTCTACTACAAAACCAGAGGTGTAGCTATATGATTTGCCCACCTCGAGCCAAATTCTGTGCGGGCGTGTCGCCGTGGCCTGGGACGATATTAGGCAAACCCGTGGGCAGAGTCGCCAGAGAGTTGGGGAACATCAGCGCACGCGTGCCCTAGGGTTGGCTACTAGGCAGGCGTCGGTACAGGCCGCTGCAAGTAAGGTGTGCTCGGGCGGTGTTTTGCCTACTTTTTTTCTGGCACATCTGCCTCTGCCCGTATACGAGCACTCGAGTGTGCGGTTGCAGGGTGAGAACGAATGAGGGCACCTGTGATATGTTCATGTGTCAGTAAGATAAGAGCACAACCCAAAAGCTATACTTGACTTGACGACCCGCAAGGCCACTTTTGGCCCAAAGGTTTAGATCCGACCGGAGTCGTTCTATTTACCAGGCCCTTCACGCGTGCTCGCAAAGTGCCTTCCTCCTTTCTGGGCACCTGGCGCGGTGTAAGGTCCGGCTGACGGGGAACGGTGGGTTGCCTACTTAAAGGGGGCTGCTTTGTGGCACAGAATGCTTTCTTTTCCGATGGCTCATTGGAGACGATGTCGGGCGATGCCCCCCCCCCCCCGCATTTTTCCCGTCTCCCGCGCATGGCTGGCGTGTGTCTATTGGAGGCTTGCTCACAGACAAGCTGACAGAAAACTGCCGACCGCAAAGCGCGGAAAAACGAGTCGACGTGTATTGTATAAACTGTGGCGAGTGCCCGCCAATGGCTTCATATGGGCTCCGCTAAAAAGCGCGGGAACATGCGGGAGCGCGCCCGCGCCTTCCCTCCCGCTCCCTCCCCCCTCCCCCGCGCCTC